GCAACAGGTTGGGTTCAAGACTCGCTGACAAGAGTGACCGAAGCATTGCCTATGTTTTGGAAAAATCTTAATACGGACTTGGTTGTAGTTAGGCATGCCAGTTTCCTCTGGCTAATGATACATCAGGCTGTGCCTGTGATGGTCTGGTGCTTCAAACGAACAACCAAAGCGAGATCGGAATGCGTCATATACCCAGGAACTCGAATGGAGGATCTGCAACACAAAGCGTTGCACTGCGATGTCTCCAGGCCTTTTCGGGAGTGGTGGCGACGAACGAATGCCTCGGTTCGTGGTAACAATTCAAGATGGATGGACCGTTTTCTACGACTTGAGACGGCAGCAAGAGAAATGCTTCCCTCCCGATGATATGCAAATGCAGAAGAGACACTGAGAGGAGCCATACTGTGGACTTTTTGGAACTTGCGGAATTCAGCGCCTAGGAGAGGGGACAGGTTGACACCACCGATGGTTCGAGCTGAAATCAAATTTGCCATCAAGCAAACCATTTTGGCTGACTGGGAGTATCGAGTTCAACGGAAAGGATACTCACGGAAATCAATGCACCATTTGAACAAATGTTGGACTGAGTTTCGGGACTGTTCACGATTGAATGTTTGCCACGGCAACAACCCTGTCTGTGCTTCTCAGGGTTTTTCTTGTAATATACATGGTTGTACAAAACTTGTGAAAGTGATCATAGTTCATGTCCCCTTTTGTTCCCTTCCGTTTTTGTTCAGTCTTTCTAGAGCGTCCAAATTAGTTTTCATAGTAGAGTCTATACTTTTTCTTTAGGATAAGGTTACATTTGGTTTGAGGGATATTGTTAGTTAATTGAGGGATTGAATTCAGATGAGAATAAGGAGTAGAATCTTGCCACAGTCGTGGCCTGGGCTTTGCTTGGTCGGAGAGACTTGCTCAGCCTTAGAGCTGCGGCGAGCTTTGTGGGGGACGCCGGGCCCAGTTCCCGGCACAACTTTATAAACATTGCTCCTTTTTCAAAAAAAAGAAAAGAAGGGGGAGGATAAATTCTTTACCAAACAAATAATAAAAATAAAGCTAAAACATATTTGTTTTATGTTCATTTTTTTCATTTTTTTTGGCCTGGTCAGGCAAGTTGTCCCAGGCCACTCTGGTAGCCAACTTGGTCCCAGCCACAACCGGGGTTGGGGGGGGGGAGGGGAACACCTTATTCAAGAGGCCAACAACTATTTTTTTCTAAATTTCAATGTTAAACCTTGTCCCCTTGGCCCCCCTTTTCATCTCACTCCCATTTGGTTTTATTCATCATGTTCCTTCATCTGGATTCGAACACGGGTCTGCATTTCAACACTTCATGATGGGTGGACTTGGGTTCTGACTTCTTTTTTCCGTAAACTCTTGGGAAAGCTTTTTTTTTTTTTTTTTTTTTTTAATTCAATTACCTGTTGAATCTGGACAGGACTGCCTTTCAGGCCCTTTTTTATTGTCATCATAGTATTACCGGGAACCCCGTAGCAGTCACATCTGTGCTCAAGCCTCCAACGAGGGAACATGCAGGATCTGCACCCACCAGCAGGTGGGCGATACCGGCCAGGGGTCAGCCGGTAGCATCCGGACCGAGCTTCTTCGATGGGCCAGTCACTGTGCCTCCCCTCCGGTCCCCTACCCCTATGAACATCAGCAGTCTCTGCTCAATGCCACTCGGGGGACCAACCGCATATCTCTAGGTGGCGGGCGTCAAGCTTGCCCAGGAAGGTACATGAGGCCAATGGGGATTGCACCCAAGACCTCCTGAACGCAACTTGAGTGCCTTGCCAACTGAGCTAGGCCGCTGGATAGGGAAGGCACAGTGACTGGCCATCGAAGAACTTCGCTCCTGATGCTACCGGCTGAACCCTGGCCGGTATCGCCCACCTGCTGTAGCAGGTATCGCACCTACTGGTGGGTGCATCTCCCGCATTTTCCCTCGTTGGAGGCTTGAGCACAGATGTGGCTGCCACGGGGTTCCCCGTAATACTAAATGACAACAAAAAAGGCCTGAAAGGCCATCCTCTCCAGATTCGACAGGTATTTGAGTTGTTTGGGCTTAAAGAATTAGCCACTAGTACCTCCGCCAGTGTTGGGAAATTACGATGTTTTGCCAGTTCCCGAGGTTATCCGGGGTGGGACACAGGGTGGGCACTGTCCCATAAATCAGATTTTCATATTGCCCGCGAGTGAAAGAAAAAACAAAAAAGGAAAATACTATCTCTACTGCAATGATGTCGGGAAGGGTAGTCTTGGAGGCCGTGCTCGGAGTCTTCCTCCACCGAATGCACCTCACTTGTAAGACGGTCACATTCTGGATGTTACTGTTGTTTTTTTTTTTNTTTGGCTTGACAATGTGGTTCTTATAAGTCCCCTGCCAATGAGGCGGAGGGGAATCCCTGAATTGCTCAAGAAGTCCGTGATCTGCTCAAGCTGTGTTTTGTCAGAGTATTGTAACACTCGTCACACTGGTATTAGGGGGAATGTATCCAGCCATTTTCACGGCCGGATCCGTGTGCCCGTTTTTCCCCCCCTCTATTCTCTTTTTCGAATCTGACAACCTGGCCACGGGGCTGAGATGCCCTGGCTGAGGGCACACTCACACTACCACTTCCAAGAATGTATACAACTGCAATCAGGGGCAAAGCTTTGTTTCGTTTTTTTTTTTTTTTTGCAACTTTTCTTCTTCTTTTTTCTTTTTTTTTGTTCTTTCTGTGAGAGTACCAGAAAGAAAATGTAGTAGTACCCAGGCTCGGCAAACTCGGAGCGCAGTGAAATTCAGGGTCGGCAAAAACAGGCTCGGAGGTACTAGTGGTTAAAAAAAAAGAAAAAGAAAAAAAGCAAAGGATGCTCTGCTACATCGCTTAGGGGGAAAAAAAAACAAAACAAGAGAAAACTAGGGCGCAGTCATGGTTTGAGTATCTAAATACATTTCAAACTGTCGTTTTTAATTCCAGTCCCGTGGGCAGTTTACTATGCAGTCAAAACTCTGCTTTGCAGAAAAGTCGCACAGCGGAGTTTGGAACTGCAGTTCAGTCAGGCAGATGGGCGTTTGTTTTTTTGTTTTTTTCCCGGCTGCGCCGCGCCGCACCACGCCCCAAAAAAAAAAAAAAAAAAAAAAAAAAAAAACCCGTAGTCGGGCCACAGCCGAGATTAACGAGTCATGAGTAGTGCAGCGAGGCCCTAAACCACCTCTACCCTTCACAATGAAAAAAAAAAAGTAAAGAATTGAGGCTACTCAGCCAGGCCCTAAACCACCTCTACCCTTCACAATGAAAAAGAAAAAGTAAAGAATTGAGGAACTTCGATGGGAAAGGCCCTCACGTCACCAGTGCTTTGAGGAATGTATCTGGCCAGCACCTGAGGAAAAGAGAGAGGGTCGTTTTCCTTTTTTGTTTCTTGTTGTGAGTTCCTTGTAGTGCCCTGCCAGCCAGGCAGGGCGGGTTGTGAGGTCCTTGTAGTGCCCTGCCAGCCAGGCAGGGCGGATTCCACGCGAGGCAGCTAACTGCCTTGCTTCCTTCAGTTCCAGACAAATACTGTAGCATCCTGTATCGGACCGCAATCACAGCATAAGGGATGCATTTTTATTTTATTTTATTTTTTCTATCTCCTGTTGGTGGATAGACGGGCGCTGACTGAGGCCACCTGCCTGACTGAACTGCAGTTCCAAACTCCGTGCTGCGACTTTTCTGACTATGGCGGAGTTTGGACTGCATAGCAAACTCGGCACGGGACTGGAATTAAAAACAACAGTTCGAAATGCTTTTAGGAACTTCTTTCGTGACTGCGCCCTAGTTACCCCAAAAAACAAACAAACAAACAAAAAAAAAAACGAACTCACTTTTTATTACAGCCCAGTGGCACGTACAACAAACGAAAAGAGTTTCAGATTCAGGAGCCGCAAGGTCTCCAATTCGTTCTCTGTGTTGTGGAGCCCCTCGGCTGTAGCCAAAGGCAGGAAATCTTTTTTTTTTTTTTAACTCGCCGCTACCAGTGTTAGTGGTGCTGATAAGAGCAGACACCACTAGCACCTGGGGAGAGGCTCCATCTATTGGTGGGGAGCATCACCTGCTGGAAATCGGGTCCAGAGTCCCTTATACAAACTGAATTTGGAGTACATCGGAAAACAATTGTGGGGGGTTCCAGCCAGTATTGATTACCCTGGGGTCCAATGGATTGACTGAGCAGGATATTAGAAGGAAGGGGGGACCTCTTCACCCTGAACCCGGTGCCAGATACACTGCTACCCCCTAGTTCCTCCCTCCCCCAGTCCCACATTACAGCGATCTGTTGTTCCTTATGAGGATGCACCTGAGCCATTATTTGGCTTCAGCTGAAGAAAATTTAAGAGCAGTGGAGCCCACACCGCTCAGGGCCATACTGAATTCACACCAGCATCACCCTGCTGTTGGGCGTTAGACTTCAATTATAGTCTCCTCATGTCTCTGCCGTCATCCCACGGGGGGCACCAGGGGGGGGGGAAGGGGGGGCAGACAGGGTCCAAATCTGGGATTTCCACCAAGGAGAGGGGATGGGGCGGGAAGGGGTCCGGGAAGTCAGATGGGGGTCTCATCGGGAAAGCAGGCTCAATGTTGGTCCAATCATTGAAGACAAGGCGATAGTCCCTAGGGGTTCCCTGTCCTAATGGAACTTTCTGGTCTCCTCCCCACTCAACCAATGCTATCCAACCCCCCCCCGGTGTCCCCCCAGCCACTCCGTACAAAAGCTCGTGATCATCCGCTTGCCGTCTCGCTCAGTTTGGAAGGCAGGAAATCAATTAAAGATATACAAAACTTCCAAATTATACTACAAGTACTCAAAATCTAAAGTAATACCTACTAAATTACAACGCCTATGATACCACAATTAACGAACAACGAGAAACTCTGCCAACATGGCGATATCTACACTATCATCTACGATATGACCATTAGAACAAAGGAAAGTATCTATCATGATCAAGCAAAAAATATTACAAAAGAGGTCTGACTCACCAAAAGGATTGAAGACTGACAAATCATAGCGAAGAGAACATAAATGATGATCCGCTGCAGAGCCCCTGTGATTTGGCCGCCATTATACTGATGTCTGCAAGAAGGGTCCAATTTGAAACCGGAAGTCTCCGGTGCACATATCAAGAGTTATCAAAGAGAGGCAAGCAGCCCAGTACTTCTGAAACCATGACACCGCAGCACACAGTTCCATCGGCTTTCCAAGTCGCTGTTTCCAGTCTAGGGAGATGATATGGTGTAAATCGGAAATCCTTTTTGATCCTGTTAAGCACTTGCTGTGACGACGGCATTTCATTGGACAGCGACACTCCATTTCTGTTTCTCCATAGGTGCCAAAGCACCGTGGCTCTGAGTTCAAAGCGCACTCGGTGCACTTCCCAGATTTGGTTACTTCGATTTTTTTTATTTTTTTTTTGTTACTCTTCATTTTGACGCTGGACCACCACCGGACCTGGTTTTTTCCTCTTTTCTCCTTTTTTTTTTTTTTTTTTTTTTTTGGGTTACTGTTCTTTTTGACTCTGGACCACCACCGGCCTTGTTTTTTTTCCTTCTTTTTTCAACTGAGGGAGTGCATTCTTTTTTTTTTTTTTTATAGCAGAAAAGAAGAGTCATATTATACAAGCCCAGAAACCGGCCCGGCGTCCCTCACATGTATGCTGGCGGCTCCCGGTTATGAGTGAGGCATCACCCGCCAAGCCCATATCAGGAATCGCTGAGTCCCAAACAGGAAGAAAGCAAGAAAACAACTAAGAAGTCTACAACAAACCCTAACATCTGCTTCTAACTGGGCCAGTAGAATAGCCTGCACTTCTAACACTCTTCATACTCGTCATTCTCAAATTCTATGTCTCAAAAGAGCAAGAAAACGGCTCAGAAATCAGCAAAAGTGAACTAAGAAAAACAACTGAGAACTCTGCAGAGCAGAACTGTAGCCCGTAGCCTGTGCTTCAGCTTTTTGTGGCTTTGAAATTCTTGGAATGCTTGGGACTTATTTGTTTTATCTCCGTCGGAATCTTTGTTAGGTGTCCTCCCCTTGTAGTTGGTTGGAGCTTTTGTAAATAGTTGTTGCTTAATCCATAATATGTGGCTTTGGGGACTGTGGGTGAAACCTTTTTTCCCTGTGCTGCTAAGGTCGACTGTGTCTTCCTCGCTGAGCCTGGCAGATGAAGCCATCCTCAGGAAGGAGCACAACAATTCTGCTGTTGAGGGACGCCGGGCCGTTTCCCGGCTTGATTTAAAAAAGAAAGAAATGAGTTCAGAAGAAGGGGAACAAAAAAAACAAAAAAGAGAAGAAGAAAAGAGTATTCGGCTAGGCTACGGGAGTGGGCCGGGGCCACTTGCCGGCCTGGCCAAAAAGAAAAGAAAAAAAACACGTGAGCCTGCTGCGCGCCGGTCCCACCCCAGGCATGGCCATTATCTGGCCCGGGCGACATTGAGAGTGTTTGTTTTAGAACATGAGGGACGCGTCGGCCAAGGCATCAGCACGCCGTCGCATCCTTTGTAGATCAGAACTATTTTATTGTGGTCACCTGTGGATTCTAACTCTAACTCACGTGTGCAATTCAACAGTTTCATGTGTGCATGAACTGAGCAGCCTGCCAATGTGCAAAATAAGAAGGAATCTTCCGCAAGACCATAGGAAGATACACCGCGACGAACAGAGACATTGCACAGAAATCCCCGTGTGAGTATGGACTAAGGAGCTGTCAGATGCAAATGTCGCACACAGAGAGAGAGAGAGAGAGAGAGAGAGAGAGAGAGAGAGAGAGAGAGCCATCCATAGGATGAGCAAAATGGGAATGAATCTGTTGCTAGAACATGGAAATATACACTGCCACATAGGAAGAGTGGCAATGTCGGTCTCTGTGTGTGTGTGTGTGTGTGTGTGTGT